CTTCTCCCATGGGTGCTTTCCTGTATACTTGGCCATGCCCTACTTACTTACTCCTCATTGGTTGTCCTGAGTGCCTACCACACATATACCATTCTCTGACTATTTATTGTTCACTTTTTCTTGGCCCTGTTATGGAGACCAGAAAATAGGAGGGAGGAAGGGCAATTCTGAGAAACACTGCTATTGTCTTATTGCTTCTACTTTTTACCTGAAGGTCGTTTATTGAAGTAAATGGTTTTCAAGAGTGGAAGTTTGAAAAGTGCAAGGATGTATTCTCCAGGTGTCCTTCCTTTTAAATGAATATGTTTTAATAAAATATGAACTTTGAAGAATTATTGGGGTAGAATACACACTATAATTCACCAGATTGGAAGAGTTCAGTGGAAAATCTCATGAGAGGTGGCTTTTCCTCCTCATGAAGTCTATAAAGCACTCAACTCAATGAGGGACCTTCTGCACAAGCACATAGAAAGGACCAGAAGGAAACAGAATGTGGCTGGGGGGTGTGACATGCTGTTCAGAGGTGATGTAAGTGATGGTCAAGTGGAGACTACCAGATAAAAAGGGGTTTCCTGGAAGAAGTCTGGCCCTGATGATCTGGCCACTCTTTGTTGAACAGCTGAAGGCAGAGCTGGAATGTTCTGAGACTCATCTCTGCCAACTGGAACACGAAGGCTCATCAATGTTTCCATTGCACATCAAAGGAAATTTGGAGTAGAATAGCTGTCCTTCTAAATTGAAGTTAAAGAAAAATAGGATTTTATTTCAAGAAACTTTTTTTTTCCAACTTTGCTGGTATACACCTCGTCTATAAAGACAGAGATACTTTTAGCTCTGTCCAAGAATTCTAAGCTTGTATTGTTTATACTTTACTGTCACGTTACTTTTAGTTATCTTCTTGGCTTGCTGTCCATACCTCTGAGCTCTAAACTTTATTCACCATTTTTCCCCCCTCTAAACTTTCTTTCATTTGCTTATATTTCCCTAGCAATTGTGTGACTGACTTAGTTTTCTCAAATTCCCGTCTGGATAATGGGAGGTGAAATTCATGTCTTACCTGACTTCTTTATGAATCTTGACCAATTTTTATGAAGTTGAGTAAGTGTGGATTCAGCCAACACCCTTTAAGAAATGGAATATCCTCCCAGGTCTGGTAGGGGTTTAGGAGTCAGATAGCATTTTAAATCCCAGCCCCACTCTTTACCAGCTCTGTGACCTTAAGAAAAATCAATTCATCAGCTTCTCAGTTTTCTTACATGAAGAAACAGGACAAATGTCTATCATACACACTGAATAGAGGAACAGATAGAAAAACAGGCAAGAAAAATAAATTCACGTTATATGAGTTCTAAAGAATTTTTACCTCTTCTTTTTTTTAACCTTTCTTCTCCTTTTGATCTCATAAGAGTAATAGATGATAGACAACTAAAGTTGTTTTAGTCTTGTTATATTATTTAGTCTGAGGAGAAAAAAAATCTTTTGGAACTTTAAATAAAATTAAATCGAAGGGTCTTTACCATTTGTGAGTGTCACCATGGAGACAAAAATTGTGTGGTCACCATGGCGACCTTTATCAACTCTTTCCATGTGGAATTATTACCGTATAAAATTAGATATGGCTGCTGCTATGAGAGACACAGTATAAATAAGTTGAACTATCTTGCTGACAATACCTACTGCGTTTGGTATCTTAGTGTAGTTCTAAAGGTGTTATTAAATGGTAAGTTGACACCCTGATACGTTCTCATGTGGCCAACTTTTGGCTTTCAGCACTTTTACTTCTGAACTGGTAGAACATCCTCAGATGGGACTATTCCTTGTTTCCTCTTTACTACCTTCCCTCATTCAAGGCAGCTTTACTTTGTTTTTTATGGCTACCTTTGCTGCTACCTCTTGTTTCCATGATGGATACTCTATGAATTCACATGCCTTTGTAAAAATTAGAGTCACACGACTTTATAATAGCTCACATATATAGGTAACAGTAGTTAACAGCCGTAATTTTATTTGTTTTTTAGAGATTTATTTATTTATTTTTTAGAGTGAGAACACATGAGTGGGAGGGACAGAGGGAAAGGAAGAGAGACTCTCAAGTAGACTCTGAACTAAACACAGAACCTGACATGGGGCTCAATCTCACAACCCTAAGATCATGGCCTGAGCTGAAACCAAGAGTCAGACACTTGACTGTGCCACCCAGGTGCTCCAGTATTAATTTCATTTTAGATAATTGTTTTTGGGAAGAAATGATCCCTCTTCTATAACATGCTAAGATGTATCTCATAACCTACCACAAGTTATGAATTTAAAATGAATCTATATTTAGAAATAAATGATTCCTAAATGTGATAGGCCATTATGTTATCCAAATGGTATATACAATACCCACAGTGTGTATATTAAAGTCCAAGCACCCTAGTTCATCAACTCTTAGATTCCCTGGTGTCGGATGATCTCCTGAAGATGGCGATGGCTTCCTGGGACTCAGGGAGTTAGTGTGTTGATGGAGGTGGGCCAGGATGGGAGAATATGTGACAAAGAGTTAAAGGAGACAGGAAGGGTATGGGGAAAAAGGGGCAGGCAGGAACAGTGAACACTTTTGGAGAGCTCTGAGGGACATAACTTGTTTTCAGATTTTCCCTGGTTGCAGAATAAGACCCAAAGTTTGAGTTAGATAAGAACCTCTGAACACTGTGTAGTAAAAACAGTTTGTGGCCAGATTTAATATTTCAAAGCAGAATGGGGATCTCTTCAGGTACATCTTTTCATACATTGTCTAGCAACGCTCAAAAGATGCTGTGCTTGAGTAGAAAAATAAACTCTGGATTATTGGTTTTGTGAGCAAAACGACCTCTCAAGCCCAGTGTTCCTCAAAGGAATGAATGTAAACTCTTTGTGGCATACCCCAAAGGTAACGGCAGACTTCCCCACGTGGTATACTGATCAGATTTTTGGGATTCTTCTGGTGGATGTGACATCTAGTTGGCTGAATTGAATGTCTTCTGCAAATTTAAGGACTTGCGATCTCAAGCCAAACCCAGTCCTTAGGGTCTGGGGATTGTTTTTCCTGGGCACAATGTTGACCTCTATTTCTAAGAAAAACATCTTTGAAGAGCTCTTTGGACATTGAAATAGCTCTACAAAATAACATTTTGGTGCTTTAAAGTATAAACTAACCAGAAACACATGATTTCAGTTTCCCATAAATCACAGAGGGTTTTGCCTAAGAGAAAAATGCATGGTGAAACACATCACGGATAAACAGTTTAAGGTGGTAATCTGGTTGCACAAGTAGGTCAAGGATTGGGGAAGGTGACATGCAAATTTGCATTCAGATGGGCAGGTAGGGGCACATTAGCATCAGCTCACAGCTGGTCAAAGACAGGACACCAGCAATGTTGTGTTAAGGTGAGAGGGTGGCCCTTGGTTTCTTTGTCCTTCAACAAAGGACTGTCTTTGACATGAGTTGTCTAATGTGAACTTTTATTGGGAATACTTGTAGAGAAAATAAGTCTAAGTTATTAAAAATTCTAAATTTAGGATTTATTATGGGGATGAATTTTTTGAACTCTTCAAATAATCTCATTTACTTATTAACCTGTTGTTCACTCCTTGTCACCTGCATTAATGGACTGATAAGGAGATTTACAGCCAGTGTATATGAGCAGAACTTCTGAACTGTGTAGATTTTGGAAGACACTGCCACGATTTAAAAATATGCTATATTTGATATTCTTGGCATTGTAATTGGTATTATTTGTGAAACAAGTTTTTTCTAAGGGAAGCCTTTGATGAAATGATCACAGCATGTGAATTCATAGGGTCTAAATGAATTTGGCTTGATTCTACGTCTAAAACAGTCACTTGCATTCAGGTTGTGGAATTTGTTGAGAATTTCTTGACTCTTACCTAGGTCGGGGGCTTTTTTGAGAAGCTGGAGTAAAGGAATGAGAGATCAAGTGTTGAGTGTCTTCTATGTGCTGTTGTGCTTTTAAACGTGTCCTTACAGAAGTCTTTTAAGAAAGCTTATTATCTTGATTTTACATTTGAGGAAACTAAGGCTGTGGAGATTAACATCATTTAACCAAGATCCACAGTGATGATCATTTTCCTATTTGGAAGTGAGCAGAAGTGTCCAGGATTGGAAAAAGCTCTGGCTGGATCAATTTACAGTTTATCAGATCTGCAAAATTCCATTGCTCTCTTCTCCAAGGCTGACAGCTGGGATGGAAACTGAAGATGCATAAATTAGAAGCCCAAAGACCAATCCTCTTTTTTAATTAAAAAGAAATTCAGAGAAACCCAGATATTTAAATTTTTTTTTTTTTTCTTTTCTACCATGTGAGTCCTGGTGTTGGTAAAAAGCATGAAGATCAGCCGAAGGGGTCAGTTTGCTTGATCGGGAAATAAGGAGTCTGGGTAAGGTTCCTTCCAGTAACAATAAGATAAGCAACATCAGAAGTAGCAAAAGAAGTAACAGCAAAATAAATAAAATAAGAAAGGTAAACAAAAATTAAATGAAGGACAGAACTTTATGTACATTTCACCTCTTAGGGATAAGGAGTTCAGAGGATAATGTGTTACTCTGTAGCTAATTACTGTAAGTGCACAGATGGTATTTTAAGTTGACCAAACTTTTTAAAATGTCCTCACCCTCAGAGAAAGCTGGTCCAGTTGTCCTTCTGGTGCCCGATGGTGAGCCTGGAGAGTGTGTTGCTAGAGTCTGGCAGGAAGGACAGGGCAATCTGTGCTTGGTGATGGCAATGTTTCCCAAGTGCTATTCCTCAGTCGTGGCAAATTCATCCATTTGGCATGTGGCTGTTGGGCAACAAGTAATGCCTTTTCTCCCATGATGAAAGGTAGACCATTTGTTGGTTAATATTAACAAATGTCTCTAACCAGAATGGGATTGGATAGGTGGGGTTTAGAAACTTGTGAAAAATTTCTAGTCAAAACCGCAGTCTTCATCCACGTTCAGCGTCACTGAGAACCGTCCCTGAGTCCTCTAAAGACCGTGGCAACGAGAGACAAGGTAGGATGGAAGTCCTGTGGCCCTCGACAGTGGCTTTGACACTTTACTATAATATGTGATGCAGCATACGCTAAAAATGATACTCCTGGGTGATCGTCTTCCTTTTTTATTTTTTAAATTAAAAAAATTTTGATCATCTTTTTTTAACCTTGAAATATTTGAGTATTTTTAGATGCATAAATTAGGTTTTTAAGGCTGCCACATCTTTTTTTTTTTTTTTTTTTAAACTCAGATTATTTGTCAAAGCCTACATTCAACCTGGGCCTTCTGCACTGGTTCGAATAAAGCAATGGCAGGAGGAAACAAACAAACCGTATCTTTGGCTCTTTTGGTGCCTTTTCTCTCTGAGTCTGTTGGACTCTGACCATTTTTTTTTTTTTTTTTTGACCTAATATTTTAGAGTACTTCGGTGTCCCGAAAGGGAGCAAAATTGTGGAGGGGATTTCATCTTACTTTGTCAATCCCATCATAAGTATTGTACCTCTTTTATGTTTAATTTATTCTCCCAGAGATGAAGCTTTTTAGTCTGTCCTCCGCCTTCCCTTCCCAAAGCAGGATACCTTCAGAGTGGGTTTAACTCTTTCAGATGACAGAGTTCTGTGAGACCTTTCCACTGTTTCCCCACTAAAATGATCTCTTTCCCATTTCTGTTGGCCTTTTGACTGTTTATTTATTCTCATCTATGGGAAAGGCAGATGCAGAACATAGGGCTATGGCAATGGGGAGGGCAGGGGCGGAGGCGGTGGCATAGGCCTCGCCAGGGGAGATGACCCAGTGATACATGATGCTTGGAGATCTACGAAGATATCTGGTGGGAGCAGGGTGGAGCACAGTAGGAGTCTGGAGGCTCTGGGATGGAGAGAGTGGGATGTGGCTGTCTATCTGGGAGAACCTGAGGACAGCTGAAGCAGAGAGAGAGGGGATGGGAGGGAGCCCCAAATGAAGCTGAAGAGCTGGGCAGGCAGCAGGTGCAAGCTGGGTTGTGCACCCACTGTTTTTCTCTCTTGCTGGAAGGCCAGCTCCTGTGAGAGCGTTGCCCAGGGCCTGCTTGTAAACAAGTGAGCTTTATTCAGGAGGTTTTCCCCATAGTTTTTGGGACAGTTTGCTTCCAGAGACATTTCCAATCCAAGCACCAGGAAATTTGCCCCGAATTTTGTGAACAGTTCTAAGCCTTGCAGTGGCAGCTCTTCCAACCACACAGTGTCTGATGGAGGACAGTTGAATGTAGAGACTCAAAGTCTCAAGGTTTGAAAAGAGAACCTCAGAGGCTAGCACTGGGTCCACTTGATTGTAGCATAACAATTAGCATTTCGGGGGAGCAGCTTTCATGGAGAATCATAAATGAGGGCAAATTTAGGATAAACTGTTGATCAGATAGAGAGTCATGAAAAAGTTCCTGAACCTCTCACCATTTTTCTCAAATCTCTTTCGTATGCCAAGCCCTTCCCCAAAGTCCAGTATCTTATAAACTATTAGAAGAAAAAGCCACACATCAGAGAAAACCTTATGGAAGAGGTGATTCTGTCTGTCTGTCTATCATCTATCTATCTATCATCTATTTATCTATCATCTATCTATCTGTTGATCTATCTATCTATCATCTGTCATCTTGAGACAGGATTAAAAGACCACTATGGGACCGCTATTAAGAGTCTAGGAAATGTTAGGTACAGCTACTAATAGTCTAGGAAAATTGTCTTCTGAAAAGAAAGTCACTAAGAGGCAAAGTTAATCAGGTTAATCTGCAAAACTGCTTAAAGATTTCTCTTTAAATTTAATCCAAATTTGCTGATCCCAATAGGAAGTGGACAAAGAATCATATAAGGACAGATGTCCCCACAATTATCCATATATTTTTAGGATCACGTTCTACATGATGTATTGTGTATTTATAGATATTGTATTAGTAAATGAAAATTTCTTTTTTTAAGTAAATTTGATTTTAAAGTATTTAAAGCATACAAATAAGTATGGGAACATGCAGAAACACAACATTTTGTCATATCTTTTTTAAAGGAAATAAAAAGAGAGGTACAGTTGAATGCCACTAGTCCTGGCTCACCCCTCTGGCAGTCTGATTTCTCACCTTTTCCTACAGAGGTAATCACTACCCAGAAATAGGTGTGTATTATTTATATCTGTGGTTTAACACCTTCACTGGAGAGCAAATACTACATTCCTCTTTGCATCTCTACCATATATGTATAAAATTAAAATAATATATATGGTATTACTTTGAATATTTAAAGAGTACCCAAATAGTACCCTACTGTACAGTTTATATGTTTTTGCACTACTTTTTTTGTTTCACTGTTACATTTTTAGGACCTAGCCATGCAGATACATGTAGATCTAAATTCATTTTAAGTGATCTTTTTTATGCCATTGTAAGAACATGTCAGAATTTACCCATTCCCAGTTGATTTTCAAATGTATCAAGGTATGTTTTAGTTGTTTCCAGTATTTTCTCTGGTAAAGTAGGGCAAAGAACATTCTTTTCCATGTCCCTTTGGGCACCCGTGTGGAACTCCTTTGGGGTCATACCGAGAAGTGGGATTGTTGGGTCTTAGGTAATGGCTTCTTTACCTCTAGGAGTTATGACCAAATTGCTGTTAAATGTGTTTGTACCAATCAGTGCTCCCGTGAACCTATGAACAAGGTGTAGAGTCCTCACTTCTCCACCTTCTAGCCCTCATTTGGTATTTCCAGACTTTATATATTTGCTTGTCTTATGAATGTCAAATTGAATTTTGCTTTACCTTTTATTTTTCTGAGGACTATTGAGGTGGAGCTCCCTTTCATACTTTTTTTTTTTTTACAATTTAGATGTTCTCTTCTGTGCTTTGCCTGTTGACACCTTTTGCTTATTTTTTTTCTTCTTTGACTTTTTCTTATTTGCTCATGACTTTCTTATTTGCTTATTTAGTAAACAGTTTATTCTGGATACCAAGCCTTTCTTGGCAATTTGTACTGTAAGTGTGACTTTCTAATAGAGGACAAACAAAACAGAGTATATGGAAAGAAGACTTTTTGACTCATCAGGAGACTTGAGTTTTTGCTCTAGTTTTACTAACAACTTGCTTTTTGACCTTGGACAGGTCATTTAATTTTCCTGGACTTTAGGATCCTTAGCTTTAAAGTGGTATAACTTGATCCCAGAATAACAGCGTTTTTTAGATACACAATCCTTTTAGAGTTAAACAAAATTAATCAGAGAGAAAGTTCCATTGAAATTAGGGAGAAATCTAAATGTTAGAATATCTAAAAGCAGACTGGACTTTTGCTGCTTTAAGAACATGGATAGGGGCGCCTGGGTGGCTCAGTGGGTTAAACCTCTGTCGGCTCAGGTCATGATCTCAGGGTCCTGGGATCGAGCCCTGTATCGGGCTGTCTGCTCAATGGGGAGCCTGCTTCCCCCCTCCCCCCGGCCCGCCTGCCTCTCTGCCTACTTGTGACCTCTCTCTGTCAAATAAATAAATAAAATCATTAAACAAAAAAAGAACATGGATAGCTAGGATTATGTGAATAAAATTGGCTGACATTGGAATAACATTTTACAGTTTTTGAGAATACTTCCCCATACATGATTTATTTCATAAATTTGTAGGATCTAGTTTCAGTAGTCCAATATGATTTCTTGTTTTAGTTTTAGTTCAAATATGTTGTTACATTTCAAGTTTGGGAGTTGGGGTCAGTCTCCATGTCTATTTGCTCTGCCTTAAATTGTGGCTACTTTTATATTTTCTAAAGGGCATGAAAAGATCACAGTGATTAACAAAACCACTTGTTACTTTTCCTCCCATTGCCCAAAAATAGCAACTAGAGATGCACACTCTAAGACTTAAATGATCTTATCTCAAGGCAAATGAGGAGTTTGATTTTATTTCATCTCGTCAGGGCTCAGAGTCTGGTTTTTGAATTGGAATAGAAGTTGGCCGTCACCTTGTCATCATCACTATCGTTCATGCAGCTATATCCACAGAGCTATTTAGCCTTCCACCAGGACCCGGGTTTGTTAAGAGGTGCCCAATTTCCTGTTTCTCTGTGATGGAATTGAGCATTGTCCCTTTGGGGGTCCTTTTGAGAATAAGGTCTATCGTCCCTTTACAAGGCATTCATATGGAGTGGGTGGCAGAGCTTTACCTCATTCCTGAATTATGTCTTGTTCTTCTAAATGCTTCATGACCACCTTGCCTAGTTCTGCCTTGTCCATGGCAAGTCCTGCCTGATCGTAAAGCCACAGCCATTCCCTGGTACGTAATGCATTTCCCCAGAAATGGTGGTGTTCAATAATCCCTAAAATCCTTCTCCACTGTTATGGGAGAGAAGTCACTTTTTTCCCCCAGAAGAGAGGAAAAATTGCCTTTTTTTTTTTCCTTCCCTGATTCTAGATTCTCTTTCTTTTGGACTTTAACCATGAGAGAAAACTCTGCCGGGAGTATTGAGGAAATGTGCTACAGGTGTCATGGGCTGTTTCTTTGCCAACAGCCATTACTGGGTTAGTTGGAATCAGGGACAAGTTGTGGTCAGAAATGCCAAAACGAAGTAGCAAACTGAAGGAGCTATTAGGATGCCTTATCAAGATACCCACTTTGGAGACAGAGATGGACATTTTATTCGGAGGTCAAGTCAGTTAGAGCAATTAGGAAACAGAATCAGGATTAGGAGACCGGAAACAAGAGCCTAGAGGGTGGAGAGGAAGCCAGGCCAGAATGGGTTAGGGCAGGGACCCAGGACCCCGAGCTCCTGGTTGCACTTACTGTGAGCCACAGAAGACTTTTCCCAGGTCAACCTCTTTGATTTTTTCGGAAATCCTGAGTCATGGTTTCTTAGCATGGCCAACTGTCTGCACATAGCTGAGAGCATGTTTTTATAGACAGTTCCTTTCCTTTCCTCTTCTTTCCATGCCCCATCCCTGGCCATCCAGTCATGGTAGGGAGGGCCAGTACATACTATTATATACTATATACATTACATTGTTAAAAAAATATTGCTTTGCATTTTTAATGCATAGATGCATTAAAAAAGTCATAACTCAAGTATGGCCACATCATTAGAATTCCAAGCACATTTCAGAAAGCTGTCTCTATAGAAAATATTTTCCTACAAATGTGGTAATTGCTAAAGAGAATATTTGACATTGGTTATAAATGCCTGGAGCTCTTGCTTTAAAGGGCAATTTCTGAGGTTTTTGAAAAGTTAAATTGAGTGGGGGAGATGACCGTGAGGTTTCATGTAGATTGTTGCTTTCACGTAATTTCATGACTTTTCCCTTGTATATTCAAGCTGGTAATAGAAATGGGCTGGCTGAGATGAGGAATCTCGGAGGAGTAAACTGAACCCTTTCCTCCTTCACATTGTAAGTAGTTAGCCAGCGTCTTTGCTAGAGAGAGGACTGAGAACTAGAGAGAAACACCTGCAGGTGTCCTTACACACAGCTGGCCAGGGTCCAGAGCAGAGACTTGGACTTGAAGAGAAGATGGTTCATGTGAGCTGGTTCCATCCAAGGTGGGATGAGCATGGCTCACAACTTTCCATGTGGTTCCCTCCTCCTCTCTGCCTTGCCTGTCTCCATTGTCTAAGACTTCATGTCCACTCTGATGACTCTCCTGATGCCGGGGCTTCCCAGTTCCCTCCTGTTCACCTCTACTCCACTCTGCCTTAATGATGAGCAAGGATTCCCCCACATGGGGCTCAAGCCCAGGACCCTGGGATCATGACCTGAGCTGAAGGTAGCCGCTTAATCAACTGAGCCACCCAGGCTTAGAATTTTGTGAAGGAGCCCAGGTTTTCTTCCAGCCTCAATCTCTACCTACCTGCTCTGTTCCAGGCTCTTCAGGTCTTCATCTTCACCAGATGGTCCTTCCTCCTTGACTCGATTCATCTGATGAAATACTATTCATCCAGTGGGGCCTAGATAAAGTGACATTCATTCCACCATAGAAGGTGAGTTTGCCATCTTGAAACTCTGAAAATGATCTCGCCTCTTCTGCTTTCTATAACATTTTATGGCCCTCTGATAAACTTATCATATATATTTATGTGGGACTATGTCCTGTTTGCCCTACTAGGTTATAATTTCCTAGGGACACACAAAATATTTTAGTTAATGTCATTTCAACCATATCTAATTGCCCTATATAAAGACAACCAATCATGCTTTTATTTAATTAATTTTTCAAGTTTTTATTTAATAGCAATCATATTTTTTGAAGGATTGAATGAATTAATGAAGTTAGGTTACAACTTGTACCTTTAAAAAATAATTTTTGTAAACATTACCACATAGAGCTATTCTACTTAAATGTAACAAGTATTTTAGTATTACTTAATATTTATGTTCAGCCATTTAAACAGTTTCACTTAAAAGGAGTTCCTTTTAAAATAAAAAAATAGAAAAACTATTTTTTTCTCACTTGTCATTAGCTACACTTAGGAGACACTGGACATTTTGGATCATAGGAGTGCTATGATTCAATACAATGGAATACTATGAAGCCATCAAAAAACCTGAAATCTTGCCTTTTGCAACAACGTGGATGGAACTAGAGGGTATTACGCTAAGTGAAATAAGTCAAACAGAGAAAGGTAATTATTATATGATATTACTGATATGAGGAATTTGAGAGGCAGGGCAGGAGGGTCATGGGGGAAGGGAAAGAAAAATGAAACAAGATGGGACTTGGAGGGAGACAAACCATAAGAGACTCTTAATCTCAGGAAACAAACTGAGGGCTGCTGGAGGGGAGGGGTAGAAGGGATGAGGTGGCTGGATTATGGACATTGGGAGGGTATGTGCTAAGGTGAGTGCTGTGAATTATGTAAGACTGATGAATCACAGACCGGTACCTCTGGGGCAAATGATGTATTATATGTTAATAAAAAATAAATAAAGACTGCTATGATTCAGAACATTTTTGTAAATGCCTGCCTCCAGAGGCAGGTTGTGAATCATGCAAAAGAGTTTAATTACTTTATAACTAAATATCAGTTTTAACAACAACAAAAAATGGTGTCCTTTGTCTTGATTGCACATCTCGTCACTGTTGCACAGTTTGAGGGACTTTTGCTGTTGTTGAAGAAGCAAAATGATGTTCTGTAGGTATGCAGGCGGGTCCGAAGGGGAGCGGAGGTGCGGCTGGGGGGTGACACAGCCTCGGGGCGTGGCTGGGAGGGCTGCAGCTCCTTTGGGGCAGAAGCTCCCCCACGGCTCTGGGGAGAAGCCCCCCCACCCAGCTCGTGCTCACGTTGCCGACCATGGAAAAGCCTGAGTGTCCCAAGTGAGTGACGGTCCAGAGGGGTTGAGTTTCTATTAATCAGCAAAGATGATTCTGAAAGAAAGGAGCCCACAGAAGCCTGGCTCCTGCGCTTGGGTTTAAGGGAACTCTGGCCATAAGGGAAATAAGTCTGTTAGGAGAGGCCAGGTTATTCTGCAGGAACAATCCCCAATCTCAGTGGCTTGCCACAACAAAGGTTATTTCTTTTTCTTTTTTCTTTTTTTTTCTTTAAATTTTATTTATTTATTTGACAGAGAGAGAGAGGGGGAGAGAGCGCAAAAGCAGGTGGAGTAGCAGGCAGAGGGAGAGGAAGAAGCAGACTCCCTGCTGCTCAAGGATTTTTTCCCCCACATGGGGCTCAAGCCCAGGACCCTGGGATCATGACCTGAGCCGAAGGTAGCCGCTTAACCAACTGAGCCACCCAGGCACCCCAACAAAGGTTATTTCAACCTGGTGTCGAGGCCACTCTTGGGAGCAGCTGTCCCCTGTGTGGGGTCGCTGGTGCAGGGGGATCTGATTAGTTATTTCATTCATTCAGAAATGTTGGTCTGATAGCATCAACGGCACTTTCCACTGTCCCTGCAGCAGAGGAAGGCGAAGCCTGAGCCTAGCCTGAAAGGGATGTGTGTTTGTCTAAAACCAACCCCATGGCCCTGCCCAACTTTGAAGGACTGGGAGTAGAGTCTTCTGGGTGCCCCAGAGGAGAGGAGAAGTGAATACTGGCGAACACTGATGATTCCTACTACCCTGGATACACGTAGTCACTCTTATTTTTCAGTTCAGTGACTACTTCCTGAGCCAATCTTTTATGTGTAGCACTTTTCTAGGCATTTGGGGGGAGAATAAAATACAGTCTGTATTTGTAGAGAATCTAGCGCTTTCTGCAAAAGCAAGCTACTTGAAAGAATTTAGTAACGATATGAGGCCTTCTGTGAGAACTTTTTTTTTGGGTTGTAACTGGTGTCTTTATTTTTACTTATTATTATTTTTTGTTTTGTTACCAAATCTATTTTTATTTTTTATTTTTTTGACAATTTTTTATTATGTTATATTAGTCACCATATAGTACATTATTAGTTTTTGATGTAGTGTTCCATGATTCATTGTTTGCGTATAAAACACCCAGTTCTCCATGTAATCCATGCCCTCCTTAATACCCATTGCCAGGCTCACCCATACCCCCACTCCCCTCGCCTCTAAATCCCTCAGTTTGTTTCCCAGAGTCCATAGTCTCTCATGGTTCACCTCCCCCTCCGGTTCCCCCCACCTTCATTTTTCCCTTCCTTGTCCTAATGTCCCTCATGCTATTCCTTATGTTCCATAAATAAGTGAAACTATGAGAACTTCTAAGTTGATTTTTTGCACATTTTTGGACAGATTTTGGGAAACAGTGATCAGGAGAAGAAGAGAAGAGATGGGCATTCCAGGTGGGAGAATAGTACAAGTAAACGTATGTGGCAGTAAGCTTGGTGATCATTCCTGGGAGCAGGGGTGAGGAGACAGAGAGGGAGAGAAAGCTGGGGAAGCAGAAAGAGATGGGGAAGATGGGGAGAGAGACAGGGAGACAGTAAGGTCAGCTCTTCTAGAGAAGCTATAGTCTCAGAAAGAATGACTTTGGACTCAGAATGCATGAATTCAAATTCTTTTCTTTTTTTAAAAGGATTTTATTAATTTATTTGACAGATAAAGGGAGCACAAGCAGGGGGAGCAGCAGGTAGAGGGACAGGGAGAAGCAGGCTCCCCACTGAGCAGAGAACCCAACACGAGGCTAGTTCCCAGGACCCTGGGATCATGACCGGAGCCGAAGGCAGATACTTAACCCAATGAGCCACCTGGGCGCCCCATGGATTCAAATTCCTGCTCTAGTTCTCCCACTTACTTGCTCTGTGACTTTGGGCAAATGTATTCATTCCCTTGGGCTTGCCCTTACATCAAATACCAGATACAAATCCTGCCAACCTGGTTTCTCTCCCTCGGTCAGTATTCTCAGACAAAATGACGGGGCTTAGGCCTTTGACAGATAGCTCTCTCCGTAAAATGGGTGGTAAGCATTGTGCCCGCCCCAGGGGTGGTTCTGCAGATTGTATGAGGTGATGCATTCAAGCACTCAGAAAGTCCCTGCCACAAAGTGCACAAAACTCACTAAATGTGTACCTGACCCTCTGGGAAGGATGGGTTAGCACGGGCAAGCGTGCAAACGACAGACTGCCAATGACAGAAGGGACAGCCTGGTCTCGAGAATATTGCCTAGAATTTGCTGCAAATTCTGCTTTGGAAGGCAGACCTCCACCTTTTCTTCTGCTTGCTAATTTTTGCTAACCTTAAAGGCAGCTCAGTTCTCTCCATCTCATCCCACATAACGAATGCAAGGTGTACAGATGGGAATTGCACGAGAGCACCCCATGTGTGAGCAACGGGTGCCTCCTGCCAGGTCCTCGACTGGCCATCGCCTCATTACTCCTTCTTCCACTTAGTCCTGTCTCCCGACACTATATTCTGTTCCTGTCACTCTGCGGTAGACACAAAGAAATAGAATGCATGGCTCCTGCTCTCAAGGAGCTTACCAAATGGTTGTATCAAAACTTAGCTCTGCCAAGTCCATTTTTAGAACCTTTTGTTTCAATGGAATGAGAAAAAGTAAAAATAGCCGCAGCGGGCCTTTCAAAGGTGTCTTAAATTATTCTTCACTCATTTTTCTTCTTCTGTTGTGAATATCTTTAGCTTCTATAGAAGGACAAAGAGAAGAAAAGTAAATTCCTGGCAGCCATGAATTCTATTTATACCCGGTGGCACATTATATTTCTATAGAAATAGCTCAAGAGGCTGGAAGAGCCTGTTTCATGGAAATCCAACGCTTTTTTGTGGTTATTGACTGTCTTTCTGCACATTCCAACGTCAGCTAGAGAGTGGGTAAGGGGGACGTGCACACTTACAGTGCATCCTCTGGGAGCAGGTGCTCAGCCCCTACATCAAATACCAGACACAAATCCTGCCAACCTGGTCTCTCTCCCGCTGTCAGTATTCTCAGACAAATGGCGGGGCTTAGGCCTTTGACGGATAGCTCGCCTGGGAAGCCCAGTGAGCTGAAGATGCATGTGTGTCTGTTGATACGGCTTTGAGCAATGACATTTGAGTCTGCCATGACGAACAGGCTGTGTGATCCCCTCTTAGAGCCATGCCTACTTTTGGCCCTGTGAGCCTGGCAGGATTTTAAAGATCACTGCTGTGCTCGCTCATGAAAACATCTCTCCCCCCATTTATTCAACGATCCTGCTTTGGGAAAACAAAATGTAAAATACCAACTGATGATCTTAAAGAAACATTTCTTTCGTTAGAACCATAGTGAGAGTTTATGGTGGGTCGGGAAGGGGAACCAGGGCTACAAGACCCATCTGCTGCTGTTTGGAACTCACTCTGAGGGAGTCATAAAATGCAAGCTGGGTGGACAGCAACTCCACGTGGCCCCTCCTCCTGTGGGCAATTAGTGTTCTGTGTCCACGGTCATTTCCGTGTGGAGCTGTGTCATCTTTAGGGTGCTTCAAGAGAATGGGGTTGTTGAATTGGAGGGTCTTTTCTCTACTGTATACAGAACGAGGAGAGACTAGGACACTCGGGCTCAGTCCCTCTTGGCTGATGCTCATAGTTTATTGGTAGTTACAGAAACTATCCCAGGAATTTCGTCCCAAATACCTCCCTTTGTGGACTGGGAGATGGTATCCTGCTAGTCCCCGGAGGGCATCTTATGATCCTTCTCCTTCCATGCTTCTGTGTGCTATTCCTCACAGGAGCTACTGTATATTGAGTGCTTACCACGTGCCAGGGGCTTGATAACATCTCATTTTATTACTGCTACAGTCTTAAGAGATAGAATTAGGGCCGACATCGAGTGAATACCAGGCATGATGAACAACTTTGGATTATTCGCCCTGTGCTCTAAATAACCATAAGAAGCAAGTGTGATACCGATATTATACCATCTTACAGTTCAAAAGAACAGAGCCTCAGTGAGGTTAAGCAACCTGACCAAAGTCGCATAGCTAGTAAATTAGAAATCTGGGATTTGAACCTAAGCTTGAGGGTCCCCAAGTCCCAGGCTCCTCCCACCTCTCCCCATGGTGCAGTGAAAACAGGAAGGGTTCTCTCCTTGAGTGCGGGGGGTTGCCACTGAAAGTGTTCTAGAAATGAGTCACAGTTTGGTGATAGATGCAAGTTTTCGGGATTTTCTACACCTTCACTTATTTTGCTTAGTATACTTTATGCCAGTTG